GTATATATATATAACGTATTTATATATTATATATGTATATATAACGTATTTATATATAATTTAGAATATATATATATATATTATTTGACAGTAATGGCATAATAGTAAATTTAGTGATAAAGTAATGGCATAATGGTAAATTCAGTGATAAAATAAAAGTATAATGGCATAATGGTAAATAAAGTAAGGGTATAATGGTAAATTTGACGAAAAAAAGTAACACCGTCAGTAGTAAAGTGACGGTGTTAACATCAAAGGGAGAGTGTGCAGGCAGATATATAATAGGAGGGGGTTTGACGCAATTTTTAAATTACGAGGGGAAAACGCGCAGATTTAGTATATAATTTACCCCTTGTTTCTTCCATATATAAGGAAATAGGATATTTCTCTCTCTAGAGTGTTAGTTCCTGAAATAGGATATTTCTCTCTCTAGAGTGTTAGTTCCTGAAATAGGATATTGTGCTTTGGTTCTCTAGGGTTTCTTCAGATCGCGTTTCTGCTTTTTTGTTGATATCTCCTCCTGATTATGTGCCATTTGCCTAGATTATATGATGTCTTAAGTGTGTTTTTGGTTGTATTGTCTTTGTCAGGTCTTACTGCCTAATCTTTTGTTATCTATGTGATTGCATTTTTTAGGGTTTTCTGTTTCCCTTTTTTCTCTGTGGGTGCCCTTCTCTCTCTTGTTTCCTTTGTGATTTGGTTGCATTGTCTTTGCCATGTATTATTGCCTAATCTTTTATTATCTGTGTGTTTGCATTTATTAGGGTTGTTTGTGTTCCCTTCCTTTTCTTGGTGTGCTTTTTCTCTTTCCCTTTTCTGTGTCCCTATTTTTGGTCATTCTATCTAACCTCGGGCCCAGGAGATCTGTATTCTGAGTCAGAGATGGGGGATGAATTATCGGAAAAACTTAAAAAGTTCAGGCTCTCGGAAAAAGAAGTGAACGGGCTAGAAATTTCGGAGGATGATTTTGAAGTTGATCTAAGAGACTGCAAACTTAGTTTGATTGGAAAAATTTACGGCGAGAAAAAAGCTAATTTTGGGGGACTCAAGACCACATTGAGTAATATATGGAGTACGGAAGCCCCTTTTACAGTGAGAAGCATTGGTGCTAATCTATTCCAATTCATCTTTCAGAAGGTTGAAGACAAGGATAAAATACTCTTGGGGAAGAGCTGGACTTTTGATGGACAGTATATCATCCTTAAAGAGTGGAATCCGAATAATACTGAGTTCTTAGAAGACGATGAGAAGATAAAACTGTGTGTGCAGATTCATGATCTTCCTCTCCACTTGCTTACATTTGACATAGGGTTGAAGATTGGAGGTATCATTGGAACAGTGTTGGATGTGTTGGTCCCAAATTCTACCAGTGTCATTGGAAGAATCCTCAGAGTCCTTGTGGAATTCAATCTCAAAGACAAACTGTTAAGGGGAACAAATATTAAACTTGGAGCCGACAACAAATGGGTAGAGTTCAGGTACGAAAATCTCCAATCTTTTTGCTTTTATTGTGGTCGCATTGGTCATACTGATAGAAATTGTGCTAATAAAAAAGAGGACATTAGTCGGAAAATGCTTAACTTAGGTCAATACGGTGAATGGTTAAGGGCTAGTTCTGGGTATATGGGGGATTTTAAAAGTTCTAAACCCATGGAGTCAGGGGGCTCTAAGGGTCAGGACAAGCCTAATGATAATTTGGTTGAATCTTTTGATGTGGCTGATAAATCTAAAGCTCACAGTCCCCAGGTTGATAGGGATAATGATCTCATGGGGCTGGAGAGTGAGACAAGGTCTCCTTCTCCCAATGGGACAGGACCTCTGGTTGAGACCAATCATGTTGATTTAATCCCAGAGGTTCACCCTTTGAGTGGCAACTCTGATATTGATCAGGATAATCCTCTTCTTCTGACTGAAGGGAGCACTCAGCATCTTTCCATTGGAAAATCTGCAGTGGCTAAAAAAAGGAAACCTATCTTGAGAAAGGTTAAACCAACTTCTGTGCTTATGGAAGTTGATGCAGGGGAAACCCTTGCCACTGTCCCCCTTAAGTCCAGATCTTTGGCTAAGAGGTACTTTTCTGAAACTGATTTGGTGGATAATTCCATTGAAGTGGTTGAATATTCTAATAAAAAATCGAAAACCCTTGCTGATAACCCTGAGGTGGTGGAGACCAGCCCTAATTGGTCTCAGGGTGATAAATGAAAGTATGTGTGTGGAACTGTAGAGGTTTGGGAGGACCCTCTACAGTTTCCCAAATCAGAGAAACCCTCAGGGTTCACCTCCCAGATATGCTGTTCTTATCTGAAGTTAAAAAAAAAGAAAAATTTGTCATTTCAGTTTGTAATAAGCTTAAGCTTGGTGATAGGTTTATTTTTAGTAAGCCTAGTGGCATCAGAGGAGGTCTTTTTCTCTCCTGGTCTGATAAGGTTGCCATCATTGATTCTTTTTCTTATGACTTATGTGTAGGAGTTAAGTTCAGAATCAATGGGAGCAATGATTGTCAATGGGGCATTTTTGTTTATCTCAGCACTGATTCTTGGTTGAGACAGCTCCAGTGGGATTTTTTGGTTAGCTTAAAACCTATGTGGGGTAATAAGTGGTTTTTGGGGGGGGGGATTTTAATGCTATCCTTTCTAATGCAGATAAGGTAGGGGGTAGAATTAGAAGCCCTTTAAGTTTTCTTCCTTTTGTTAATTTTGTCACTCATATGGGCATGAGTGAAACCAAGACTTCTGGTCACCATTTTACTTGGTCTAATTTGAGGCAAGGGGACGATTTTGTGGAAGCCAAACTTGATAGAATTTTCTTTTCTCCTGTCTGGTTAGCTGATCACCCTAATGCCATAGTTAAGCATGTTCCTCTTATTGCCTCGGACCACAGTATGCTAATATTGGAGACTTTCTGTGCCTTGAATTCTAAACCTCATAGATTTATCTTTGATGCAAGATGGATTAAGCTTCAGGGTTTTCAGGAAACTGTTGAGAAAGCTTGGAATCAGGATGTTGGTGGCACTAATCTTTATAGCATCCAGGCCAGGGTTAAAAATGTCAGAATGACATTGATCAAATGGAAGAAAAGCCATGAAACTAATTCATCCAAGGTGATAAGGGAGTGCAAGGAGAAGATTAAAATAATGGAGGCTGAGGGTGGAATGAGAAATTGGGCCGAGTGGAATAAATGCAAGAATTCTCTCCATGTGGCTTATTCTGAAGAGGAGAAGTTCTGGCAGCAGAAATCAAGAGTCATGTGGCTTAAAGAAGGGGACAGAAACACCAAATATTTCCATGCCTCGGTGAACCAAAGAAGAAAGACCAACAGTCTTGAGAACCTCAGGAATTCAAGAGGTACCCGCTGTGAGAACGAACAGGAGATAGTGGAAGAATTAGAACACTACTACCATGATTTGTTTTCTTCTACTAATCCTGACATTCACTCTTGTAATTTGGATGGGATTCCTATTTCAATCTCAGATGAAATGAACAGAAAGTTGACAAGAGATATTACTGAAGTGGAGATTAAGGAAGCTCTGATGGATATGGAACCCTCTAAAGCCCCGGGTCATGATGGTATGACTTCCATATTCTTTCAATCTTGTTGGTCTACTGTGAAAGATCATTTGTGTACAGCCATTGTTAATTTTTTTGAGTCAGGTAAAATGCCTAAAGGTATTAATCATACCGTTTTGTCTCTCATCCCTAAAAAATCTAATTCTGTGTGTGTTGTTGATTTTAGACCTATTGCCCTTTGTTCTGTTTTATATAAGATTATTTCTAAGCTTATGGCCTCCAGATTAAAGCCTGTCCTCAATAGCTGCATCAATGCCTCCCAATCTGCTTTTGTTCCTGGGAGGCAAATTTTAGATAATGTAGTTATTGCTAATGAATGTCTTCACTTCATTAATAGCAAAAGAAAAGGCAGTAATAGCTTTATGGCCCTTAAATTGGACATGGCAAAGGCATATGACCGAGTTGAATGGTCCTTTTTGATTAGTGTTTGTAGGAAGATGGGATTTTCTAATATTTTTGTTTCTTGGATTTTTGCCTGTCTGTCTTCTGTCTCTTATTCCTTTAATGTCAATGGTCAAGTTCTTGGATATGTCCAGCCCTCGAGAGGGATTAGGCAGGGTGACCCTATGTCCCCTTTCCTCTTTATTATCTTATCATAAGCTTTTTCTAACCTCATTAACCAAGCCTGCCTTTTGAAAGTTTTCCAAGGTGTCAAAATCAGCCCTCTTTCTCCTTCTATATCCCATTTATTTTTTGCTGATGATGCCATTTTATTTTGTAAAGCTAATTGCGTCCATGCTTGCTTGATTCTTGATCTTCTGGAGTTGTATGGTAATGCTTCTGGTCAGTGTGTCAACATAGATAAATCCTCCATTTTCTTTTCTAAGAACACTCTGGACAGAACCAAAGCTGATATCTGTAACCTTTTGAGTGGTGTGAGGTGTGTGTCCTACTCTAAATATCTTGGCCTCCCATTAGGGATTGGTAAATCCAAAATTGATACCTTTAAATATGTTTCTGAGTGTGTTACTAATCGGATTTCAAATTGGAAAAATGCTATGCTTAGTGATTCTGGTAAAGAGACTCTAATCAAATCTGTGGTTGAAGCTCTCCCTGTCTATACTATGTCATGCTTTAAACTTCCAGTTGGAGTATGTAAAAGTATAAATAGGGAGATGGCTAAGTTCTGGTGGGGCAGAAATGATAGAGGGGGAGAGAAAATACACTGGTCCAATTGGGATTACCTCTCTCAGCCCAAATGTAGGGGTGGTCTGGGCTTTAAACAGTTGACTGCCTTCAATAATGCCCTTCTAGTCAAACAGTTGTGGAGGATTAATACCCAACCCAACTTGCTGGTTAGTAGGGTTCTGAAAGGCAAATATTTTCCTGGGAAGAGTATTTTTGAAGCCAAAGCTAGTAGTGGGGACTCTTGGATCTGGAAAAAGCTGGCTGGGGGTGAGAAATTATTTTAAGTTAGGAGCTCGGTTTCAAATTGGTGATGGGAAGAACATTAAAATCTGGGACCACCCTTGGGTTGCTGATATTAAGGGTTTTTTACCTAAATGTCAGTTTGCTGTAGATAGAAGAAATTTGTGTTGGGTGAGTGATTTATTCCTTCAAGATGGAGCAGGTTGGGATAGGGAGCTTATCTGTCAAACTTTCCATCCTTCAGAAGCTCAAGCTATTTTGAACACTCCCTTTTCTATTATGGGTAGAAAAGATAGATTAATCTGGAATCTTGGGAAGCAAGGAGAATTCTCAGTAAAGTCTACCTATGCAGCTATTCTTAATATCCTTGAGGTGAGTAATGGTGGGGCTGAGCCTAGTAATGGGAACAGGAACATGACAAGAAATTGGAAGGCAATCTGGAAATTACCTGTGAAACCCAAAATTAAACATTTCTTATGGAAATGTTGGCACAAATTCCTTAGTACTAGTGACCAACTGGTCAGGAGGAAGATGGAGGTGGATAGGGTCTGTGGTATGTGTCGTGAGGCTGCTGAAGATATTGACCATCTTCTATTTCAGTGCCACAGAGCAAAGTTAGTTTGGAAGCTGAGTGGGGTTCAGTGGGAGATGTTGGATCATTCAAGTGCCTCATTTAAATCTTGGTGGCATGAGCTGAATTCAAGGCCTTGGTCTGAAAATCTCAAAGATAGGATTAGGTTATCTACCTATATCCTATGGTGGCTTTGGAAAACAAGGTGCAATTGGCTGTTTAGGAAGGAGTGGATGGAAGAGAAGATGGTTGTGGAGAATGCTAGACTAGATTGGGTTGAATTTGAGAATGCAGGTGCTCATGCTGGTGTGGCTGATGTTCCTGCTGAAGAGGAGGCAGCTGGTAAGGGTTTTAGGGAACTGGGAAGGGTAGGTCAGTGGAGTTTAACTGTCAGTGCCCATTTTGATCCTTATGCTCAGATTGCTGTTCATTGCCAGGCCTTTTGTGAAGGAAAACCTGATGTCCACTTCCAAGAGATTCTATGGTGTCCCAGCCAGGAGGAGTCATTATGGTTGATGGCTGTGAGAGGAGTTCTGTTAAAAGCTAAAAACTTGGGATGGACCTCTATCAATTGTGGTCTGAGCAATAAGCTACTTGTGGAATAGCTTAACAAGAAGATGTTATCTAGTTTGGCTTGCAATGTTATTTTTGTTGATATTGTAGATCTTTGTGATCAGTTTCTGTTTATTTCCTTTTCTTAGTGTTTTTGCCCAATTTCTTAGTGTTTTTGTTTTGGGCAGCTGTATGTTTGGTAGGTTTGTATGATCAGGGGTATGTGTGTATGTCCCCGTTTGCTTTAGCAGTCAGTTGATTGCTCGATGTGTATAACTTTGAGGTTCTTAATATTATTTTCATCGTTTGGAAAAAAAAAAAAAAAATCTACATTTAATTTAATCCAATATTCAACCATTAAAATATAAAGAAATTTAATAAATAAGTCAATATTTCTTTTAGTTTATCCTACTTATTTTCTTATTACCTAAAGAATTTGATGGGAAAAACCAGAAAACACGAAATATAATGAGGAAAATGTTATGGCCAATTGTGTACACCATCCTTTAATTATAGTTTACCTACTCCCACAGGAGGCATGAGTTATTACATCTATCAACCAATTCTGCAATAAATAAACATGACATGCATATAAGTATGGTGTTAAAAAATCACCACGTGGACAAGTATTAATACATCAACCAACTTATTTTTTTTCATACCATAAACAATATATGGAGTTAAAAGATAAATATTTTATTATGCAAAGATTCACATTCCAAATTCCCAAAAAACTATTTAAAACTACAAGACACAACACGCAAATTTATAGGCTTACAAAAGCCACAGCATCCATGCACACAGCACATCAAAGTAGCAAATGAAGTGATTATGGCTATAACTTCAAGTCGAACAGATGAAAACCAGTGCATTTCAAAATGCCATATTCTCAAACGAGTCTGAAAGGGTAAAAAACAAATTAAAACCACTACACTTCAAAGTGCCATATTCGCCATGAAATGTAAGTACTAGTTCAAATAAAACAAACAAGATCCTGATAAATCCAAAACACAGTAACATTTGAATTCCTGGAGACATCACCAAGATCATCCTTGCACAGGCCCTGAAATGAATGCTCTTCCGGGTTTCCTATTGGCCAAAGGCCCGTGACATCCAAGAAGCTGGAGAATTCACAAAAATGGTATGTCATAGAGTTTATACCGAAGTTTGGATGAATATTAAAAAGAAATGTGCTTAGTACTGCAGATGGAAAGCTGGCACTGAGTAAAAACTTTTTGACTCGTTTAAACAAAAAGAACTACTAAAATCAAGTTGGAAAGAAAGAATTTTGCAACAAAGACAAACCTTGGCATTCACACCATCAGGAACAATCCTATTTTCAGATTTCCATTTCAGATAATCAGTGCGGTTGTATTTGGTGAAACCCCTGAAAAAAATAACGATCCAAAAACATCAGCAACTAGAATCAGTACAGAAACTCAAACTAAAATTTCATACATTTCGCTTATTTCTGACACAAAAAACATGAAGTATATTATCCAATCAAATGGCATCTGACCAACATACCAAATTTATTCAAATTATCCACACACCAAATGATGGAACAAAAATCACGAAACAAACAATTCAAATGCCTAATCACCATCAGAAAAACAGGATACTCAATTCACGACATGGGAATCCGATATCGAAGCAGTCCACATAGAAGTGAAACAAGCACACTGAACTAACATAATAGACTTTTGGTTATTCGATAAACAAGCATATAGAGCTGAAAGAACCAATACCATTTCCTGCTAACGATGATCTTCTGGCGACCAGGGAACTTGAATTTTGCACGGCGCAAGGCCTCCTGAGCATGGTGGCTATTCCCATCCTTGCAGCGAACAGACAAGAGTACCTGACCAATGGCCACACGAGCACAAGTCCCCTGTGGCTTGCCAAAAGCACCCCTCATGCCAGTCTGGAGCCTATCAGCCCCAGCACACGAGAGCATCTTGTTGATACGCAAAACGTGAAAAGGGTGAACGCGCACCCTCAAGTGAAACGTGTCCTTTCCGGAAAACTTGGTCATGTACTTGTTGCAAGCGATACGGGCAGCTTCCAAAGCCTCACTCGAGACATTTTCCTTCTCCCAACTGACCAAGTGCACACAGTAGGGGAACTCATCCACCCCCTTCTTCTTCATGCCCACATCATAAATCCTGATCTTTGGATCAGGAACACCACGGCAATACCGTGATTTTGGGTAAGGTTTGTTCTTGATCTGACGGTAGCACCTAGCAGGTCCTGGGGAGAAAATAGCAGTAGACCATATTAACATAAATTGAATTAACAGATTAAAAATCACGATCTTTACCAAGAAGGAAATGAAAAGGTTACCGATTCTTCGGAAAACAATTTCAGGGTTTCTTTAGCATTAAAACTAGATGCATATGAACAATACTTAGAAATACAGGCACAAACGAACCAGCAACGAAGCAGATTTTATCTGGATTGATGGAACAGATGCTACTACACAATGTTATGACACAAACCCATATCATCTCATCCATTTTGCCCAATAAACTATGAAATACATACAGAATTCTCGGGTAAAAGACCTTCACATCTAGCCCCAAACACTTACAACAATCTTACAAGCTCTTGAATTTGACATACTAAAACGATGACAACCAATAATCTGTAACATAATTTCTTTCTCCGCTATATCAATTCAATGACAACAAAAGCTTACACATTTGGTCATGAACAAAATATCATAAATCTGACTAAATGAGCAGAAGCTCGTGAATCTGGCTAACCAATAACAAGAACATAGCAATTTTGAAATGAATTAACACACAATGTTTTGAACAAAAATTCAAAATCAAATAATACGATTCTGATTAAAATTTTGGTATGTCCTCAATCATATAATTATATGAAATCAAAAAGATATTAATCATATATGATAAAAAAGCTAAGAAAGAAAGGCTTACTTCTCCCCATGGCAAGCTTCTTCCTAGAGTCTTTTCGGCTGAAGATCAACCTCCTCGTATAAGCTAACCCTAGCTGCGCGAATGGGTCGGCATATATACACAAATAATTCGCATGGTATGTAATCGGCCCAGTATATTGTGGGCCGCTTTGACTGTTCTCTAGCCCATTTTAAACTTATGATTAATAGCTTTGCTAAATTCATGGGTTATGCTATAGAAATGACATTGGGCTTATTGTTTTTCGGGGTTTTGGGCCCAACCGCTGTTTTAGAGGTTTTCAACTAGTCAAAAACGCCCAATAATGTTGAAATGTTGTTTGGTAGCCGGACTATTTCCTTTAGTTTTTTTTTTTAGGAGAAAGCCAAAATTAAAACGCTGAATAGAGGAGGTTTTCCATTGGCTTTTTCAACTAGTTTCTTAATATTTATTGGTCCAATTATATATGAACTTGGTTGTGTTTGTTCATCTTTTTCCTTCAACTTTTTATTGTGTTTGTTCATCTTTTTCCTTCAACTTTTTATTGTGTTTTTTCTTCAAAATCAATCCTCTAATCTTTCCAATTAACGTTTTGCAGAACCGTCAAAACTATTGTCGGTAAAAATAATTAACAGAATTTGCTGGTCAAAACAGTTATCACAATTTTCTGCTAACAGCTGACATACGATTACTGAACAAGGCTATTATGACGGGTGAATTATTATTTTTTCCTTAAAAAAAAAAAAGGAATGTTATTATACTAAAGTGTTCTAGTTAACAATTCATGTTTTTAAGTATCTTTGTTGTCTTAATTTAAAAATTATAGGGTTATGTACCATTATAACTTTCCACGGGTTAGAACTAATCATTCGAACAATTTTCTCTGTTGGTCAAATGGGCAAAAACATATTATAAAATAATTTTCCCCCTCACTACAAAATAAATGTTATATTCCAACGAAAAATTCTATGGTAATATATTCCAATAGAAATTCCAACGGATATTCCAATGGAATAGCTTCCGTTGGAATAGTTCCAACAGAAATTCCGACGGAAATATTCCGTTGGAATGTGTTTTTCATTGGAATTTTAGATGGAATTTGATGATTTCAACGGCTATATTTCCAACGGCTTTTTACCGTAGGAATTTCCGTTGGAATATGCAAATTCCGTTGGAATTTTTTTTCCACCCCCGTTGGAAAATCCACTGTTAGAATCGTCAAAATCCAACGGAAATTCCAATAGAAAACTTATTCCAACGGAATATTTTCGTTGGAATTTCCGTTGGAATCCATTGAAAAATTCCAACGGAAATAATTGTAATGAAATATCCGTTGGAATTGCCGTTGGAATAATTCTTTTGAAATATATTTCCGTTGGGATTACATCATTTTTTTGTAGTGTGTAATTTCTCATAAATTTTTATATAAAATTGCACTCCCACGTTATTATATATTGTTGAAGTAACTTGAATTTGACTCAAATCACGTTAGCGCGCTGGCCTAGTGTAGAGGGATAAGTGAGCTTAAGTTCGGGCCTTCAACTTATCGACTTCAGCTCGTTAACTAAATGAGACAGTAGTCGAGTTTGAGTTCAACTCTTTTATCAAAATTAATGAGTCGAGTTCGAGTTTTAAAGAGCCGAATTATTATAAAACAATTCTTATTAACGAACTGAGGCGAACCCGACTTGTTACTAAATGTGCTTAATTTAAACGAAATCGAGATTGCTGATTCATCAAATGAGCCGAGTAGAATTTGATTGCCAAGCATAGTCGAGCTAAATTCATAAGCAACACGTTTATTAGTTTACTCTACGTGGAGGACTAACAATATTGACAATAAAAGTCTTATGTTTAACAGCAAGAATATTTGTTCCACGGTCCTGAATGCCATATTTGGAACATTGATTCTGGAGACTTAAATGATGAACAGATAATTAATAAGCAATATTGACATAAACAATCCATGAGAGACTTTAGTACAAGCAGAGAGCTCCTACTCCAAATGTTTATATTATAATTAATATGGTTGTCACTCATATTGTCTTCATAAAGAACAATATCGTACATCATCAAACTTATAAAAGCTAAGCTCAGGAGGAATAGATAAAAATAAAAAAGATGGGAGGTTTGAACGAGACAAAAATAACAAACTAAACAAATAATACCACATCATTTCAAAAATAATGAAGTATATGAAAAAAAAGACCTTGCAAGGTCAAGAAAAAAAAAATAAAAATAATTAAAAAAAAAAACGAAAGCTCAGTTCGGATAGCGCCAACATCAACGAATCTCCGTTCCTCGATTCATCTTCGACAACCTTCGAAACCCTATCAGCAATTTGTCTTCCCATAACATCTCCGGTGGAACAAAAGATGACTTTGTAACAAACGGCCCCATATTGAATGAAGAAGGTTGAGTGACAGTGGTGAAGAAGAAAAGAAAGAAAAGACAAGCATGAATGGACCGAGAAAATTTTGGAACATATATAATGTGTGAAGTGATGGGAACTTTGTTTTCTGTTTTGATGGAATGGATGGACGTTACTTGCAGGTTTATATAGAGAAAAAAAACAAAAAGGGGGACCCCATAAAATGTGTGGGAAATAGAAATAATAAAATGCTTACCAAAAGATGACAAAATTAAAAATGAAAATAAAATAGAGCAACACAAACCTATATAATTCTCGAATGCGCTGAACCTACGTGGCTGCTTCTGGTGCTTCGAAATCCTACTTGGCGAAGAATCATGCTTCGTAATTAGGTTCAGACAAATAATATTGATATATTAATAATTAATATCTATGTTCGGACATTCCATAAATATTATTTAGCTAACTTAGGTATTTTAATATCACTTGTACTAATATAACCCTTTAATTCTTTGTAATTTTACATAGTGAGACACTAAGTGACTAATATATGCATGACTTTTGATTTGTTTCATTCAATTAGCTTGAATTATAAATGTATTATAAAAGTTGATAACTTTTGTATTTCTTATCGGTTTTACATATATAATATATCAAATTAATCATCTTTTCATGATCTTCGATTTGACATCAATATTGTATATATAAAATAAATAAATAATATTTACCTTTATAATAATAAAAAATAATATTTATTAAATTTTATTAGAAAAATAAAATTATTTCTCAGTTGATATATTTTTGTTTAATGTAGTTATATGTTGTAAGTTAAAAAAAATATTATAATATAACACAAGTAAGTCACACAAATATTTAAATTTTCAACTACTTTTTCTCAATAATTTTAGATTTTAAGGAAAAAATTAGCAAGCACCCGTGTAATACACAGGCGTTGTACTAGTAACACAATACATGGGAAAATTTCATATAAATTAACGGTCGAGTTATTTATCGTTGGATCAAATGTTTTGAATATTACATGTATAGTAGGTTTGTAGTACCAGTCCAATGGACAATATAACAAACTAATAACAAATCCAATTAGACATACCCATGGTTTGGTTCTGCCTGAATTTAGCCCGCGGGCAATGGGGCCTTGAACCGAGTTTATAGTTTGACTTCCGGCCACATATTTTTTGCTTCCGAACCGTTGGGCCGGTTACAAACCAGAACTGTTCAAAATCGCAGTTCAATCCTGTTTTAAAACAATAAAATTTATTATTATTTTTAATTGAATTGAGCCAATTCGGAACCACCGGTTCACTGACTGCGTGCATATGCATGTTCAGGCCGATTCAGGGCCTCCAATTCTTGGCTCGGAACTTGGACATTAGCATAAATTTAAATAATAAATGTAAAAAAACGTATGTAAAACATAAATAACTATATCTACTAAATCTCAACTTATCAATGAAATAAAAGTTATGAATATAAATCTATACTTATATAAAAAGTCATCTAATTTGTTAGAATTAGTAGGAAGAAAAGTCAAAGGCAATTAATGCATTCTATTTCCATCATTTTTTCAATTGTAATATTATTTTATAGCTAAAAAACTGGTCTGCATTAATTCCATCCTTAATTGATGTGTTTTGTAATAAAATCGTACAGATATACTTCGAGTAAAAACATGTCTCATTTCAAATTTAAATTCAATTATTAAAATTTCTTATCATTTTGTTACATTAAAATCCTGAATGAATTGTTTGCCATAAAATCGGACAAAATAATAATTGCATAGAATTCATGTAAAAACATGTCTCATTTAAAATTTAAATTTTAAAATTCATTATCATTTTGTTACATTTCTGAATGATTTGTTTCCCATAACATCGGACGGAATTAATAATTGTATTGAATTTATGTATGGTTTTATATTAAAGATGTTTAATAATAGCATAGAATTTTAAAGATGTTTATTGATTATAAAAAAAAATAAATTCTAAAATAACATTTGTTTATATTTTGTAAAATATTTGTACAAAATATTTTACTCTACATTGGAGCATTGTGTAAATAATTATAATGACTTTACACAATAGATTTTATAATAAAATAATATGAGTATTATACGAGGAACAAGATTACAATTTTTTTTTTCTTATATCAAAGAAAAAAAAAATAGATAATGAAATCAAATTTATATTATTATTATAAACATGTGAGCGAGATAATATATTAATTAATTTACGGACTAGCGCTGTCAGGCTCAGGTTTAATGTCGAGACAAAAAAAATGAGTTGATGAAAATGGGTAAAAAAAAAATAGATGATAAAACTCTGTCATGTGCATCGCACGAGTTACGTACTAGTTCAAGTTTTAACTTTTTAAATCTATAATTAAATCCTCTTTATTTATATATATTTCTATCCTTAATTGATATCCCTAATTATGGTGTTTTCTGATATTTTGCCCGATAATTTCGATACACCTACGATTTAGAGAATTCTTGACATAACTAGTACAATACCCGTGTATTACACGGGTGCTTGTTAAAAAATTATTCTTAAATTTTAAAATTAATGAGAAAATTATATTAAATTTAGTTTACTTTTTTACAAAAAATAATATATTACTATATATATTAGAATGATATGTGTCAC